GCAACGCGAAATAAAATTACACTCAACCAAAACGAAGAAGAATCATCCCCTCTGCGAAGCGAAATCAAGAAAGCCATAAACGAATTGAAAAACAACAAGAGCACATGTATTGATGAAGTTGCTGCTGAGCTTGTTAAGAACGGTGGAGATAATGTCATATATTTTTTTCCATGTTCTCTGCAAAAAGATTTGGAAAGAGAGGAAATGGCCAGAAGACTGGACCACGTCAGTTTTTATACCTATCCCCCCAAAAAGGAGATGTAATGGAATGCAGCAACCACAGAATTATATCTTTGATCAGTCACTGCAGTAAAACTCTTTTGAAGGTTATTGCCGGCCGTATGAAAGTCAAACTAGATGAAGAAATCGCAGATGATCAGTGATTTCGAACGAACAAAGGCGCTAGAGATCAAATACTGAATTTGAAATTAATAATGAAAAAGCACAGAGTCCATCTCAAGAAAGAGCTCTATGAAGACCAAGAACCACTTATGGCTTAACAGATTTTTTCAATATCGGTCAAGGTGTCCGCCAGGGCTGCATTCTGTTACTTCATCTTTTCAATGTCTACTCAGAGAAAATAATACGAGATGCTCTAGAAGGTTTTGAAGGATCCGTAAAAGTAGGCGGAAGAATCGTCACGTACCTTAGATACGCTGACGACATTGTCCTCGTTGCTGGATCTATGCAAGTACTAGAAACTCTCGTCGAGCTGGCAAGTGAACAAGCAGGATTAATGTTCAATACGCAAAAGGCAAAGGTTGTGAAGATGGCTAGTGATCCAGAGAACACTGAAATGATAGAAACGGTTGAAACATTCCTCTACCTAGGTGCAATATTCACAAATGACTGCAATGACAGCGCCGATCTCAATAGGTGACTGGCAATCGCAAGAAATGGAGTCATCAACCTAAGCAACACCTGGAAAGATCGTTCTATCACAATCCAAACGAAAATTCGAATTCTAAATACCCTGGTGTTCCCTGTAGCAACATATGGCTGTGAATGCTGAGTACTTAAAAAGTTAACAAAAAGAAATTGAACTCGTTCGAGATTTGGTGCCTTAGAAGAATTCTTAGAATCGGCTGGAGAGAAAGAAAAACGAATGAATGGGTTCTGCAAAAAGTCGGCAAAGCTACACTTATGAATTCCATTAACAAAAGGAGATTGTCCTTCATTGGTCACGTTGCAAGAGGCAAAGGTCTGGGCAATGGTGAACTGCTAGGAATGGTAAGCGGCAAGTGAAGAAGAGGAAGACCGCGACGGAAGCTGGAAAACGACATCCAAGAAGTATATATATATATATATATTATATATATATATATATATATATATATATATATATATATATATATATATGTATATATATATGTATATATATGTATATATATATATATATATATATATATATATATATATATATATATATATATATATATCACACACGTTTTAATGTATGTGCGTGCATGCGCGCATGTGTGTGTGTGTGTATTAATGATAATAATGATATCAACTTCCTACATCAATAAAAGCTATCATCAATAACATAGCTATTCTACAGTTTTGTTCAACTAGCCCACATTTAAAAATTGTGTACAGTATTGAAGAAAATGTTTACCATGTTGTTCTGATGTATTTCAAAGCTAGGTGTGTTGGTATTTATTTCATAGATTGGCTGCAGGAATGAGAATGCAGGAAAAACCCATTTGGATGTTCCCTCACCACCAGTGACACATGGTGTGTTTCAATTTTTCTTATACCTGTTTTTGAGAATGCTTCTAAGATAGGCTGCTGAAATCAGTTCATACAATTTCCTGAAGTTAAAGAATTATTCTATGATATGGCTTACTGCTGCGTACCATTACTAAAATAATCCTTTAACTATATTTAAGATTTACCTATATTTTAGATTAGGAATATGAGGTAAAAATAACAAGATCAGGAAAAGTGAAATATGCCTACCTGTGGAGAGTTGATATGTGTAGCTCGGGTATTCATCACGGAGTTCATTGCTTATTTCATCCATTAATGTTCTTTTCAAATTCCTGCTTTTACAATCCTTATGACTGGTGTCCCAAAACGGCTCTTTGACTCTCAGTTTATCCAACAAGGCGTAAATAACTTCCGATGAGAGCGTCACGTTTTTGGCGTGTCGGAGTGGGTTGATGTTTATGTTCGTTGGTCAAATGAACGTTTATCTAAATTATCTATAAACATTTAATGAGACATTATTGTTCGATGTAATATATCTTTGTATTTAATAATTAATTTTGTTGTTATCAAGGTATATAATATATTTTTAATGATTCCAAGTAATAGGTTTACAAGTAATTATATCATAGTTTTTGTTTCGGCAATATCTATCAGCTCTAGGCAGGGAGGAGTTTTCATCTCGAATCCGTTTACAGCTAGGGGTGCAACCAGCTCTGTAAAGGGATCCCTGGACAGAATAGATTAATGTGATCGATCCTTTAGAGGAAACTGGGCTGCGCACGGGAAG